AAAAAAAAAAAAAAAAGCAAGTCTAGATAAGACTTGCATATGCAACTATGTGCATTATCGTAACTCCATTGGTCGTTTTGAGATGGTTAAGTGATGAATTACATCCTTGGAGAAAAATAAGATATATGACGACTACTTTCTCAGAATTTCAGGAAGAGACCTTACAAGAAAGCTAATTAATCACCACAGACTGAGTAAAATACATGAAATTCCATCAGTTTGTCTAAGTTTCTCGTATCTAAAATACATGAAAATTGTTAAGAGGATTTCCAAACGACTACATTTTGTAAATGCTAGAGTTCATCTTATATAACTAGTCATGCTGGGGAATCCTTTAATTAAAAAAACTGGCTTCAACTTTCATCAGAACCCAATTAGGCTCCTTCCATGATACAAATTCGTCACGAGTGGATTTTCACACAATACTGAACTTGAAATATGGGACACCTTATAAAAAGTCCATCAATGGTGTTTGTAACTAATCTAGAGCTCCAACGGCAAAAACCATACATTTTGCAGCATGAATACCTATATCGAGACGCGGTTTCATCCTATGGCATTAAAGAAGATTGTTAATATACATTTGTTTCCAAATTCCATCTAAAAATTATTGTTATGTCAAACCAAAACACAAACCCCTACAAACTTGTTCTTCTTACAGTTCAATACTTGATGAATTAAAGAAGGAAACACAATATATCAACCAACAATAATCCTCTAAATGGCCAAAAAAAAAAAAAAACTCACCTTTTCATTGTTCTCATAATAATCATCCAATGCCCATTGATATTTCGACTGGTTCAAACCGAACCAATGCGCCACATGCTCATCCAAACTAGCATGTGCTGCGAGTGAGGTCAATTTGAACTAAATTAGATAAAAGCCCAAATTCTTTAGCTTAATTTCTCAGCAACCTGTTTCTCCTTTTGTTTCTTTTAAGAACAGATATTGAATTTGAGCACTGTAAGAAAAAGGGACAATTAAAGTATACCATTTTGGACCTTGGCCACCGTGTTCCAGAAAAAGGCGAAAGATGAAGGCTTCTCTTTATCAAATTGCGCCGGCGGAGCCATGACCCGTGGAGCCGGAGGGAGCTGGACCGGCGGCTGGGAGGCCGGAGACTCTGGTTTGGGGGTGGCACTGGGCGTGGCCGGAGGCGTCACGAACACGGTGTACGGCCCGATCTTGCCGATCCTCGGCGGCGGCGTGGATGGTTCACTCTTGACCGGCATTTTTCTTTTTCCCGGTAGCTATAAAATAAATAATTACGGTTAAATTAAAGGGAAAAAAGAAGATGGAAAAACAGAGAGCAGAGAACCCTTTTTTTACAGTATCCTTTTTTTCGGACAGAAGCTTGAATTTAGGACAAGGGTCGTTCGATGTTTGTAGATTGGAAAGGAAGACAACGGGGGACTGTACTTAGAAGACTGGGTAAGGGAAGTAATTGTCAGAGAAAGGCAGGGGCTTTTTCGGTATTTCTTGTGGGAGAGGCGTGGGACCCTATGTTTCGCGTGGATCTTTGTCTTACTATTCTATCACCATTACCAATCTTCTTGTTTTGTTTTCCGATCTCTACAGTGCAGTCATCGTGTTTTTTTATCATATGGATGTGTGTTGATTAAACAACAAAAAGAACTCGATGCCTCTACAGTGCAGTCATCGCGTTTTTTATCGTTGGATTAACATGTAAATACTCGTATTTATACGGATGTGTGTTGATCAAACAGCAAAAAGAACTCGATGTCTCCAAAGATGTGAGGCCATTCATACATGGAATGAAGAATAAGTAGCAAAAAAATTGTACGGAATTGTCACTTACAAATGAAGAACCACAAATGCAATACGAAAAAAGTTGAGAGAGCCAACTCGGTTTGATTTGTGACAGTTCAAACTTGGCCAATTAGCTTAAGCGAACTCGTTTATTAAACAAGTCGAATCGAGGTTATTTGCATACATCATTTTTTTTTTCTTTAGGTTTTCCAATAAAATGGCCGAGCCGGAGTTATTCATAAAAAGACATTCATGTTTGTGAACAGCTCGTTTAAGATTTTATGTTTTACTAAACGAGTTGAGTCAAGCTTTTACGTGCCGAGTCGGCTCGTTTACTAAATCAGCACGGGCTCAACATGAGCTACTGAGCTCGGTTGGGCTTGAATAAAAACACCATGTGAAATAGCAAAAAAATGAACTTATTTTTAAATGTGATGATAATCACACACAGCATATTACATATCACTTTGGAAATACATGCATTCCAAAGTGGTAAATTACAGAAAGAATATAGCTGCCACGATTGCCATGAAAATATGTCAAGACAAAAAGAAA